TGGTGCCGATCGTTCACGAACCCTTTGATAAAGAATTTCATAATACACATGTCGATTCAGATCAGAGGCGAAATCGCTTTTCCGTTCCATCTCTAACAAGGGTGAAATAATCTGGGCCTAATCTATAATAAGCGAATCCAATCACCGGAGCAAAAGCCTGTTGTGAGTTTGAAGCGCTGCCAGACTTTGATCACCTCAGCGGTAAATTGATTAGTAGTGATCTACTGGTCTCTTAAATGCTGATCCTGGGAAAAGAAGTTCATGTCTTTGCTTAGAGCTGAGCTTGTGGTTGAGCTCCAAGTAACAACCCCCCACCCCCCGGCTTCAGTTGCAGTAACAGTGATGGTGGCTCTGTCTGTTCAAATTCTCTGTACCTGTCTTGTCAGGTTTACAAGAGGGGGTTTGGGTGGAGGCTTCAAATAGGTGATGCAGAAAAAACAAAAAGTATTGGCTTTGATGGAGAAATATCGCTGTGTTCCTTTTGTCAGAATTACTGAATCCCAAGTCACTAAAATCAATTGGAACGCCCCCGCAAAAGTTATAATTTGGATCAAAAGTTAGAATTTAGACTCCAAACGTCCACTTTAAAGCCAATATAGCAGCCTCCCACATGCGAACTGTTGATAAAAACAGGAAACATTTTATTTGCACTTCTGACAATTTGCATCTCATGAAATCAGTCCAGCTTCTATCAGAGAGCAGTGCTTAAACGCACTGAAATATACTTTGCTATCAATTTAAATTCAATTCAGTTTATATATATATATATAGCGCCAAATCACAACAGAAGTTGTCTCAGGTCACTGAACAGGAACATTCACATACATCCTAAAAGCCAATTAGTAAAGTTCTCAATTTGAGGAAGCCACCAGACTCGTTGAATATTCACTTCATAGCAGTCTCCCATCCTGAGCAAGCACGAAGGCAACAGTGGAAAGGAAAAACTCATTTTTAACAGGAAGAAACCTCCAGCAGAACCAGGCACAGGACGAGCGGCCATCTGCTTCAACCAGCTGGGTTTGAGAAGACAGGTAGGAGGAACAGATGAACACAGAATGGCAGGTCCAGATGTAGGTCCAGATGTAGGTGCAGGTGTTCCTCCTATTGGAAGAAAGACAAAGAGACATGTCAAGGACAGAAAAAATTACAAATACAAAACAGGTTGAAGTCAAGACAGTAGCAAAGTGAAGAAACGTGGACAGTTTGTCCTCCAGCAGTCTAAGCCTATAGCAGCATAACTAAGGGATAGCTCAGGAAACCCAAGCCAACCCTAACTATAGGATTTATCAAAAAGGAAAGTCTTAATCCCAGTCTTAAAACTGGACAATGTGTCAGCCTTATGGACAGAAACTGGAAGTTGGTTCCCCACGAGAGGAGCCTGGTAACTGGAAGATCTTCCTCTCATTCTGCTTTTGGAAACTTTAGGAACCACAAGTAAGCCTGCAGTCTGAGAGCAACGTGCTCTGTTAGGAAAATATGGAACAATAAGATCTCAAATTTAAGATGGAGCTAGGTTGTTGAGAGCTTTGTAGATTAGAAGTAAGATTTTGAATTCAGTCAGTTTGTATCAGTTTGTACTGCCATCAGCTGCGAGTCAGAAAAAAAACACATTGATTTTCTCAAATAGTTTAGTCATTTTTGAAGTGTTTTGTCAAATAATTATTAATTCTTATTATTAATTAGTTAATAATTACATTCTGACTTCTGCGGTACATGAAACGCAGCACAAGTCGGGTGATCTTAAGGGAGAGTCGCTCATGTTTCCAACGTGACAGGTGCGTCCAACGGGAAGAGGAAACACTTGATGTTTTTGCACTGACACTGCATCAGAAAGCAACGTTGGCCTCCTCAGTTCTTCAGCTTTTAAGATATGTTCAATTTAAAGGTTTATTACTCAAGAAATCCCTCATCCTCTAATCCTCAAACCATATCTCTGCTCAGTGCTTTTATTCTGTCAGTCTAGTGCCTAATGTGTGTATAGTTTGTGGTGTGTGTGTTATCAGCTCAGCAGAACAAAGCCCAACCATGACAGAGCAGCATAAAGGCCTGCAGCATATTCAAACGCTATCGCTTGTCTTTGAGAAAACGAGCACTTTTGAGTTGAACTTGGGCAGACTCTAACAAAGTTCTCCATTTTTCTGCTTGCTGTTACACTGATCGGTCCTCTCTCAGCTCTGATGTCGGTTTGTGTTAAATGAAAAAGAGGAGAAAGGAAAGAGACAGAAATGGGTTGATTTCTGTTTGCGAGCCTCGCTGCATTTGAAGCCTTTTATCTAAGGTCAGACGCTACAAACGATGTGAGCTCCGCTTCAGCGTTTCTCTCCTTTTCTCTAAAACTTGCATTAACCTTTTTACTAACGTCTGGATTTGTTTTATCGTGTCAAGGTTTTGCCTTCGCCTGTGCTTCACATTCTTTGACCCTCACTAAACAAAAGTGCCAAACGTCACATCTTTGAGTCTCTGTGAAATCGACGATGGGTTAAACCTTTATACGCGAGCTAGCTGCATTTTGTGTTGTACCATATTATAAAGGCTAATGCATACTAAGGCCAAGCTTTCATGTCTGTTCCCCCCCTGAATTTATTCATTCCGGCTTCTCCGTGTTGATGGGAATGTACAGCTCCTTCAACAGTATTAAATTGTTTTGTTGTAATGCCGCCGTCCCTGCTGTTGTAGTTCACAGGTGAGAGTGGCAGACGGATTTCAAAGCGACGCAGGGCAGCGCGACTGAAGACGCTCAGTTTTACAGCGCTCTTGGAGAAAAAAAAAGAGAGCGCATCTTTTATTCATGTTCAGTTGTCGAGGTGTCAAGAGTTTTGTCAAGCCTCTCATTGTTCTGTTAACCTTGTCTCTGTAAAACGTCCTGTCACTGTTTCTTAGGTTAAACAGCACTCTCAAGCTGCAGGGAAGGGAGAGGAGGAGAAAAAGACAAGGGAGGGGTGACAGAGAGGAGAAGGGTTCTGCAAGTTTTTTTTTTCAGTTTAAATCAACTTGATCTGGAAAAGGGGGATGTAGAGAGAGAGGAAGACGGTGAAGAAGAAGAGATAAAGAGGAACGGTAGAGGTCCAGTTGTGTGGAGAGCTGGAAGGTGTGCAGTCTGTCCTCTGCAGACCGGGTCTGGGGAGTTTTATTTTTACCTCGATACATGAGTTTGGGTCAGCTTGGGCGAGCTGAAGGCACCTTTCAGTGGGTGTTTGAGGACACGTGTCGGCCCACTGTGACGGTGTCTCAGGCCTTCCTCTGTGCGTGCACACAAACAAACAGTATGTGGCATTACATGAAGCATCTCTCCATGATTCTCCCCTCATCATCATTGCTCTGGCCATTAAAAAATAACTACATTTTTTTTATCTTTGTGACTGTTAAAGATGAGGAAATTATGATGCTGACAATTTCTTGACACGATAGAGACATTAATAAGAAGACAACTGCAGGCAAATGACAACATTTCAATTTATTTATTTAATAAACCAAATTAATTTAGGTAAGCCAATTATTTCCCTAACTAATCCCACGTTTTCAGATAAACATTGCAACGCTGCACAGATGTGAATCATCACCTCTCACATGGTCTGTGTGGGTTTTCATCTGTCACAGGTTGGCTCTTTACGTGTACGAGTACCTGCTGCATGTAGGAGCACAGAAGTCTGCACAGACCTTCCTCTCAGAGGTAAGTCACAAATACATGCTTGTTTTCTGAGCACCGTCACATGGTCACATGCAATATGTCCAGCGGGACTAGAACTATAGAGCACACGAGCAGACACGATGCTTAGCTGATTGTGTTGAGCTGACAGCAGCTCTTTCTGTTTCCCATTTCTATCCCTCCCCTTTCTGCCTTTTCATCTCTCTCGGAGAGGAACACTGCTCCTCACTTCAGTTCCGCGGGGTAAAAATGGCGACGGGGTGAAACAGAGGACACTTGATTACTGGGGTTAAAGCAAATTACAATGTAGAAGACGGCAGCTAGAGGCTTGCTGTATTGAGGCCAGATGAAACGAGAGAGGGAGGGCGAGAAAGGTTACCTCATCAGCTGGCACTGATTCTCATCACTTAGTGTCTGTTGTTGCACATCTACACTTCACTGTCTCTCTGAAACTCTTTCCTTATCGCTTGCTCTCCATTTCGCAGATGCAGGAGATGAAAAGGATAGGCGGTGTCACGTTCGAGTGTGGGAACGCATTAGCTAAGATCGCAACAAGTATAAACACACCCGCTCGTGTACAATTCTCACACACGCATATGTACTAGGGGAACATTTAGCCATAAAAAGCAGCTCTTGCTGGAGTGTTAAAGTATTCTAAGACATGGTTTAAAAGGCTTATTTTACACTTTTATTGTCCACATCAATTTACAGGAAACAAGAGAGCGCAAAGGCAAATTCACAAGTTACACTGTGATACCTGCACGTTGAATATCAAATCACTAACAGCCAGGGCAGAAAGCCAAATCGAATAATCCTTTCAAACGCAGTTTTCTGATAAATGAGCTTAAACCTTAACAGAAGTTCATCGTGCATCATGGAGACCACGGTGAGGGCAAGTTAAAGAGGCTCTGAAGACGTCGGACCACATGCAGGCACAGTCTGTGCTTTTCTTTTCTGCACGCTCTCCAGGTGACGCGCCGGCCCGAACCACCAGTAATCTCATTTGGACCGAGCTAAAGCTAGTAAAGCCTGAGAAGTTAGGGATGCTCCTTCTGAAAGTTTTAAACAGTTCTATTTAAGAAGGTAAAACTCTTTTGTCACGTTGCAAACAAACAAATCTCTGGCTGTGTTTCAGATGAACAGATGAGTTTACAAGGATTGCCAACTACATCTAAAAGAATGTGGGACAAACAGGCGGAGGCAGTTCCTGATCCTCCCCTCCAAGAAAAAAACAAAACACGACTTCAAAGTGATGCGTTCTTTCATCAGATGTAGAACGGAGGTCAGGACAGTCTGATTGAAAGCGCAGCAGTGATTTAGTTCTTCCTGCTACGTCACGCTGATGACTACATTACTCTCATCCCTTCACCCTCATGAAACATTTCAGTGAGAGAATTTTAACAAAAGATTAGAAGCAGAGACTAAACAAATATTTTTGCCTGATCTGACTGTTGGCTTCATCGTACATTAGGAGAAGCATTATTTGTAATACAGATGACATCAGGGAAGCAGTGACTAAATTATTTAAACAATTTAAGAATCTTGGAAAAAAGTGAATCCCCCATTTTGTTTTTAATTTAATGTTTTTTGTCATTTGCAAACTGTTCAGAATACAAGCGCTCAGTTTTAACTGGAGCACGTAACGTTGGTCTGTCCGGCCTCGTCGTTGTGTTTTTCAAGATGAACAGCACTTTTAGACCAAAGCTGTTCGGTCCATTTTAAACACACCAGGGTTCATTTCCTCTTTGTTTGGTGTGCTCAGGTTGAAAGGTCATCTCAACTAAACAAGCGTTTTTTTATTGTGAACAAGCTGGATTTCTATTTTTGGGCCTGGCTAATTGCTGAACTGGATTTTTTTTTTTTCTTCTTTTTTTGTAAATTTCTGTTTCAATGTTTTGTTTCTGGCCAACAGCAACTACAACTTTTCACACAATATAATGTTTAGCTGTAGTTTCTAAGTTTTAAGGACACGTCAGGTGTCACTGGTTCAAGCTCGGGGGTGTTCAGTCCTGGTCCTCGAGGGACTCTCTCCTGCATGTTTCAGATGTTTCTCTGCTCCAACACACCTGATGTGAATCAATGGGTGATTGATTGGCTTCTGCAGAACATGAAGCGGTAATTCAATCATTCAATCAGGTGTGATGGAGCAGGAAAATAAATAAAGTATGCAGGATAGTGGCCCTGGAGGACCAGGATTGAACACCTGCTCAAGATGATTTTTTGTTGTTGTTGTTGTTACAAATATGCAACGCATTCTGTGTTTTTTTTTTTTTTAAAGTTTAACATTTTTACCAGCAGACATACTAAAATAATTCAAAACAAACTACCTATACTCATGCACACCCTAATGTTAAAGCCACTATAGGAGGAACTGTGAGAAGGGAAAAAGGAAAGACGTTGGACAAAGCTTGAGATATAAATCAGCTCTAAATTCGAAAAGAAGTAAATGTAAAAAAAATGCTATAATCAGGAGCATAGTGGAGTTATGGCTGTACGGATTGTTTCAAGGTTTGATGGGGCTCCTCAAGCTGGTACAAGTCTCTGACCTCATGCTCTGCTCACCCTCCGACTCAAGAAACACACACACATTCAAATCTGTGTGACGAGAGGCCCACAGACCCACATACAACCACTTATCCACTTATGAATCCAAGAGAATCCTAACATAATTACCTAATGGCATGTCTTATAGGAATTCCCTCGCATCCTCTTCAACCTTCTAAAGCTGGTAATTCAGATGTCAGGCGTGTTTCATATACTGGATGCTTCTGAAGCCGCTCACTGTCTCACCCTCTCTCTGTGTCTCCCTCTGGCTGTCTGTCTGCTCAGATCCGATGGGAGAAGAACATCACATTAGGAGAACCTCCAGGGTTCCTTCATTCATGGTGGTGGTAAGCAGGCTTCATGGTTCACATTTATTTCGAAATGTATTTTTATATGTCTTCATTCCTCTACAGATAATAAACACTATTCTTCCTCTGGTTTCATTTTAATCTCAATTATCCTGACTGGAAAATAGAAGCACTTTACTTTCATCCTTGATGCCCCAAAGTGGAGTTTTTTTTTTCATGTCTCGGGTTTGATAGCTTCCTCCTGAATGTCTCCCTGTGTGTTTTAGTGTTTTCTGGGACCTTTACTGTGCAGCTCCAGAGAGGAGAGACACATGCGAGCACTCCAGTGAGGCCAAGGCGTTCCATGACTATGTGAGTCTACTTTTCTTCGCTCTCTCCTCCAGACTCAACTCTCCCAAGTATTACGGAAGTCATGTCAAAGTACATTAAGAGGAATGTTCAGAATTTAACAAATAAAATAACATAAATATTATCAACATCCTTGAAACTGTGATACAATTTGCACTTTGCTTGGAAGCTGATTGAAAACTCTGCTGGCTGACATATGTCACGTCAGCAGTGCACGCAACAGACTAAATTCATTTTTTTATCCCACTGCTTGTCAAAATGCAGAGGATGAAAGTTATTTGATAAAATGTGGCAACATAAGCACTTCTGGACACATTTTATGTGATTCGTTTGAACAAATAGTTGATATGGGCGTCTGGGCTGATGTGGATGGACGTTAGTGTCATGGCTGACTTGTATATGTAAGTGTATACGAGGTACAAATAACAAGTAGTTTTTTAATTTATTCATATTTTAAGACACATTCTTAAAGGCAACATATTTTTTCCAGATTGCCTGTCAGCTGAAATCTTTAATTCAGCTAAAACAGGCTGACAAAAGATCATAAATTAATATAACCAGTTCCTTAATGAGCCAAAGTGATTAATAAATGGAGCTCTAGTGTAACACAACAATAATAAAAACACACCGCTGTCTCAACTTGTTGGTGTGTGTTGCTAAAATCAAATTTTGACATGTTCAAATACAATATGTATGGAGCTTCAGGAAAGACACTGAAAATAATCCATTTTGTGCTCGAGAGTTTTAAATAAATGAATAAAAATTTACAGAACTAATTTTTGATGAATTGAGGATAACTTGCAAGCTTTTGTGAAATTATTGTTTGTGATTGGAAATAGATTTAACAATACAATGTCATTTAGAGATGCATAATATTGGATTTTTGGCAGATATCCGATGTGCCAATATGTTAAAACTTATTTGGCCAATGGCCGATACCAATACTGATATTTTTTCCCTACACCTACTTACAGAGACTACATATCTTTCTCTGCTGTGGAATTAAAATCCATTATTCTGCACGGTCTTTGTCAATTTGGCCTGTTACCAAATGCAGATGCCATAAAAGGGACTGAAAATGATGTAACACTTCACCTTAGATTATGTTTAATGTCAAATTTATTCATGACATTTACTCTATTTAACACAATGCCAACACTTAAACAGTGCAAATATGTACCTTTTAAATAGACAAGTTAATTTATGAATGCTTTAATTTAATTAATTTAATTTAAGCATTTTCCCCATGCTTTATGGGGGAGTGGTGGCGCAGAGGTTAGAGAGGTGGGCCTGTGATCCGAAGATCGCCGGTTCATGCCCCGGCCCCAACAACATCAAAATTGTGGGTGGGGTAGGTGAAACACCCACACTTGCCCCCACCCTCATTCGCCCCACTCTGGGCCCATGAGCAAGGCCCTTAACCCCCACCATGTGCTCCCTAAATAGGTCTCTCTTGAAAACGAGTTCTCGTGGCTCAATGAGACTACCTGGATAAATAAAGGCTAAATGAAAAAAATAAAAAATAAATTTGATTGAATGACCCATGTCCGATATTTAACTTTATCGCTAATATTGGTTAATACCATACCATGCCAGTAATATTGTGCGTCCCTAATGTCATTGATTACATTTACAGAGAGTAGCTTGTGTAGCTTTCAAGTGTAAAGTTGAACAATCTTGATCATTTTTAGTCTAATCTGTAAAGTTTACATTTGTACATGAAGTGGTGATATAGAAGTTATGAATGCCTCACTGTGTGGAGGCTGAGGGACCATTTACACAAGGCATCCTGTATGTTTTTTTGCAAACTTCTACATACTTTGTGCTATTTTAGTCATTATTAAATCAAAATGCTCAGCTTATTCGGAAGATGGATGAGTTTTTTTTTGTTGTTGTATACGTTTCAAAACATTTATTTCCCAACAGAAATACATAAAAATTGATTCAGTTCCTTGCTGTCTTTGAAGGGTTTCACCTGACTTGCTCTACGTTTGTCTTCTCGTGACACTTATAGTTTTTTTAGCTAGTCTTTTGCTACTTTTATGTCATGTTTGTAAAAAAAGAACTGACTCTCAAACGTTTCACCTGGTGAAATTAAGGTCAAGTAAAATAAATAAAAATAATTCAGCTTTTTCCAAGACTATTTTTACTTTTAGTTAGATTTGCTTGTTTTGGCATTTAGAAAGTGTTTTCCTTTGATACAAGCTTTGTGCTACTTTAGCTTTTAGCTAATGCTTTATTAATTTTATATTTAAACTAATGTTTTGCTACTTTTAGGTTCTAGCTAGGATTTTGCTACATACAACTAGCATTTTGTAACATTAAACTTTTAGCTAGAATTTTGCTTTGATTAGCTTTTAACTAGTTTTCTACTTTGTTTAGCTTTAACAGCTGTTTCAGCTTCTTCAACATTCACACTGCAGTTTCATAGAAAATGCTTGTTTTCCATTGTTTTAACCAAGCTTTGAATCCTGCAGTGACGGAGAGGTTCTGACGCTGGCTGAACTTGTGGTATTAAAAGTGTGTGTTAAATATAAAAAATGTAAACATTGCTAATGGTTTGTTCATGCTTCTTGTCGCAGAGCTCTGTCACGTAGCGCAAAAGCAAAGTATTGTAAGTCTGAACTGGGTGACTAACATGATGAAAACATGACGGTGTTTTCATCAGCGTGGCTTTGCTTTCTTGCTGAGATGTTGCAACAGAGGAAGTCCGTCATGTGCCAACCAGTACCATATTTGTCAGCCTATAAGTCACTTTTTTTTTAAATAATTTGCATGCACTGTGACTTATATGCTGAAGCGACTTATGTACTGATTTTTTCCCACATTTATAACCCAATTTTTGGCTGAGATATGACCATTTTCATTCATTCTGACTGAAACTATTGAACACTACCATTTTCAGCCACTAGATGGCACTCAAGTAGTATGACATGCCATTGTGTCATGTAATTGGTAAAAGTGGCTATTAATGACACAATCAGCTTGCCATAACCTGCCACCTTCGTCCAGCTCGCCTGGAGCAACCGTCAAATCAGTTTCATTTCGCTGCGCTGCCCTGTCGAAATGCAGCCGATTTCACCACTGACGTGCATTTATTAAGCAAAAGTTCACCTGAGACATACCTTTACCATAAAGTCCAGTAAACAAATAATTGTTTTTGGGTGGTTATCTTGTTAAATTTTGAAGAAATGCACAGCGAATTCTCCCATGCACGTTCCTACTTCTGCGTATTGGCTTTTGAAATGCTGCTGATTTGATCGTCAAAGTGCATTTATTAAGAAAAAGTTAGACCTTTACTATAATTTCGAGAAAACAAATAATTATTTTTAAGTGTTAATCTTATTAAATTCTTGTTAGTCCTCCCGTGCACGCTCCCACGGCTGCCGCTTGGCAGCCAATCGATTTTTGGCACAACACCGACCCACATTTCTGGGTTGTCAGCGGTGACGCGTAACAAACGCAACACGTCAGCGGTGATTCATAATAGATGTGACTTATACGGTGAAACGATATATTTATGGATTTTTTCACTTTATTAGACATATTGGGACTGATGCGACTTATATGGCGGTGCAACATGTATGGCGGGAAAAATGGTAACTGGAATCCATTGAGAATGGATTTAAAGAGCTGGAAGTTAGAAATAAAACCGGTGACTAATAGGGTGGGAAGAGTTTGTGTGGGTGTGTTAGAGGTGATGGAGCAGGGGTCTTCTCTCATCTGCTTTTATGTTGTTGTTTTCCTTCTATAATCTGACTCATCACATTTATCTGCACAGATATATTGAGATGTATTGTTGGAATTGCAAAGGTCTGGAGGTTTGTCTACCCCAGCAGGATCTCCTCATTCTCTCTGACTCGGTTCAGCTTTTGTCTTTTCAAGCTTGCAGTCCTGCATCTGGTTGAGGCTCTCTTCTCCTTTATCATCTTGCAGTTAAGGTGTGTGTGCATGCACTGATGCTGGCGATGATCAATGTGATGAATAGGCACTCCTTGAGTGAGGCAGCAATGCGATGATGTCATCCTGGTTCGGGGAATGGGAGTTTAAGGGCAGAATAACCTCGGCCCCATGAGACAAACAACCTGGAGAGGAGAAGCCTGGAGAAAAAAGGAAATCAACAAAACCGAGAGAACAGCGATACTAGAACAAGGGGAGAAATGTTTCATTTGCCCAGTGTATCTGATTAGAATCAATTTACTTTAGCAATCCCAGAGAATATATCTTGAAAATCAATAGAAAAAGGTCATCAGCAGCATCGCGTTCTTACATTTCCTGCCAGGATCTACACAGAGAATTCTAATTAGCACAGTTGTTATTAGACCAAGGTCACTTTCAATCAACTGCTGCGCCGCTTCTCACTTCCAATCAAGGAAGTGCAGATCTGCCCCTCGATTAAAACAAAACGAGGAGGCAACTGTTGAGGGTATCACTGGAGAAATACCTTCAGTTTGCTGTGCCTCTCTGTCAGGTTCCTGACTTTAAGACTGATGGAGATTTTTATCAGACATTTTCATTTCAATTAATCTCATATAGCTAATCAGAGTGGAGTCCTGATTAATGATTGGGAACTCAACTTTATTTTTTGATAAAGGAGGAGATTGTGACTTTTAGCTTCATTTTCAAATTCATCTTAGTTGAATGTACTGTAGATGTGGATTGGTGTGACTGAGATGAGCCTGGCTCCTTTGTGTTAGTTCACATCTAGACTTTGCATGGTGTTAATGCAGATCCATGGACATGAGGGAAATATTCTAATGTTAAAAAGAAAAGAAACCCAAGGCAAACACAAGGGCAAGAAACAGAACTGCTATTGATTTCTATCCTCTGATGAGGCTTTACAGGCATCAGAAACACAGTTTACAGTTCGCTTAAGTGCTTTGTAAATTGTGTACTTGATGGTAAATGAGCAGTTTCTATTTGCCCGGAGCAGTGGAGTCATAAACACAAGTTATTTTTAAATGCTGGGCCTGGAAATGGCCTCATTAGAAGTAAAACTCCAA